ACCATAGGAAGTATAATTGTGCCTTCAGAAGTCAGACTTTTCTAATTTAGCCCACATTCAAAGCATGGCTACACATATATTATCACTGAGATCTCTGCCTACATAATTAAACCTGAATGACATGTATCTATTCTCGGTTTGCACATGACGTCATCAGTCGAAAAAAATTCTAAAATCACAGACACACACATCATTACAGTACTAAAATACCTTGAAGAGCATGATAAAAGTTCTCTCTGAAAGTTTCAACTTTTTTCGCTGTTTATTCGTTGAGTTATTAACGTTCAAAAATATGTCACGCAATACTGTCGCGCGACTTGAAACACGCCAAATTAACCTCGGAAAGCCTATTAATCTTAAAACAAGTATAGCCTCAGCATTAAATTAAATTTTTAGAATGATATTGTTGGAAAACTGAAGCAAAATCATTAGTTTTTAGCTCATTTCGATACTCGGAGTTGCTGTCCGCGCATGGTTGGTGTACTGGACTTGTACACCATCAGGGCTTTCCCATACATTCCCTTGTAAAGTAAGACCATATTCAAACGCTTATATTTTTGCTACAAAATCGCAGTTTGACTTCAAACTTTTCATAACTGTTGGGAATTATACGCTGTTTTTGGCCTTGAACATGAAAAATTCATTTCGATCTTAAAACTAAGTCTTTTGTAGGTATTTCTTGACCTGTTTTAAACATTCTTACCAATTTTCGATCGCTCGATCGCTTATAAAGCATTCTTTTGGCTCAAAATTTCGCAATAATACTTTTATTTAGATGTTCTTTTCGAGGACAATAACAACATTTCGCTAATTTGGCCTCTAAATAGCATTTTTAGAATATCACGTGATTAGTGCAAACCAAGAATTGTGAACCCTTTATACATCTTATTCAAGTGCGTCATAAAATATTTCAGAAAGCTGTCCGTTCTACTTCTTCATAACCTCATCAGTTCTTATGTCTGATGATAGTATGGAAGCTCGTCCGCTCTTTCAATAGTACATAACACATAACTAATGCTAACCTTTAATGAATGTATAGTTTGCCTTGAAACCTCTCGTCAATCTTTGTGGTGCCCCTGAGGTAAAGATTATGGTCATAGAACTAGAAGATGATTGGACGAAGGTCGGTGTTCTATAGCCACAAAATTTTCCCAAAAGAGTCACTTCTTTTGAGACTCCATCAAAAATCTCCAGAAAGTGAAGGCATCGCTCTTCATTACTAATGATGTCCACTAAAAAGTACTGGAAGGTCAGCCGAATCACTTTATCGTCTGGTGCAGTGATGTACCATGTGCACTGTATATCAGGAGGAAAGTAAGTTGGATAGTAAGGAGAAGCGATGACACCAGGCCCCGAAGTAATGTTTTTGATGCAAACTGGAGCGAAAAAAATGGATTAATTTACGAAATTCTAAATCCGGACAAGAATAGCATAGTCTCGGGCCTTACCGCTTTCAATTTTCTGCTGAGAAAAACAATTGAAGCAGTCATTGTTTTTCACGAAGCTGTATCCAAGTAGTATGGCACCAGGTGACCTTTCAATTATTCCACGTAAAACGATCTGTAAACAGATTTTACCTTCAAATCATGTCCAATCAAGGTCCAAGTCCAGTTGACTTTAATAGCTGACGTTGACTTTAATAGCTGATAACAACTCAAATAGAATTCTAAAATCTAAATATATATCGATGCAAGAACATTCACAATATTTTTCATAAGATGATATATCTCATAAATACTGAACGAAGCCTTAATTTATACGCTGTTTCTATATGGCCGGTTACCGGTCAAGGTCTTGACTAAATGCTAAATGGCCGGCAGCCCATAAAATGTGTTTTTTCCCTCTCTTATTATCTAAACGAGCTTCCAAACTCCAAAATAAAACTGTACGAGTAAAATGAGTGTGTTAAAACTTACATAAACGTCGCGCCGAAATTCGTTGCACTTAGAGACATTGTGCGAACTTGAACCGACTGCCGGCCACGCAACAACGATGATAATGTAGTATTATGAAAATGTTGTATGCTGATAATTTTGTATGATCTTGTATGATAATGTTGTATTAGGAGAAGCTGAGGGATTCCTGGGAGAAATACTATCTGTTCTTATGTCCCAGCCAGCTGTAAGTCACAACTGGTTGCCAGCGAGAAAAACAGAAAAAAAGAAGTCTCCAGGCAAGCAACACTTTCTAAGAATTTTTGCAAGGAAAATACAAATTTCCAAACTAAAAATATATAAGCTGTTTTTAACCATAAAAACCTTTGCCGTGGTTTGGCAGGAACAAAATTATTTTACAGAAGGAAGGGCGCCACATTTGATTGAGAGATTGTCAACAATTTAGCCAAAAATCCTTTTCCCAGGAATAAATTCGTACAAGAACAGTTATTAAGAAGAACAGCCCCAGTCGGCTCCTCCTGTTGTATGATGAATCATACATGTATGATGAATCATACAACATTTTCATCATACAACATTACCATAATACAACATTATTATCATACAACATATCATCATACAACATTATCATCATACAACATATATACATTGTCATCATACAACATTGTCATCATACAACATTATCATCCTACTACATTATCATCAAACACTGACACCATCATCATATATCATTTTAAATACAACATTATCATGTGAGCTGTCTGCCACCCAGCATAACCATCTGAACATGAACTGTAATCCTATATAGTAAAGAATGCAGATTTTTCGGATAGAGTAATATACTTACAGTTGGAACTGGCAGTAATCCTTTGACTCTTAAATATAAATAATAAAAGATGCATGGAAAGAAAAATCTGTTGTTTATGAGCTGCCGGTCATTTAGGATTTCGACGTTGCGTGACCGGCAGTCCGCCGTCAGTTGGTTKAGATKTTTCTCGAATAGAGAAATGTCTCTACAGTACCATGAAAGTTTCAGAAATGTTGATTATGTTGTTTTAAACTCTTTAAATAAGAATAATAAAAGAGGCCTTAAAAGAGAAATCTGTTATTTTATGAGCTGCCGGCCATTTAGGATTTCGTTACTGCGTGACCGGCAGTCAGTCGTGTTTTCAGGCTTTTCTTGAATATAGAAATGTCTCTACACCATGAAAGGTTGTAAATGTTGATTATGTTGTGATAACCCTTTAAATAAGAGTAATAAAAGAGAAATCTGTTGTTTTATGGGTTGCCGGCCATTTAGGACTTCGCTGTTGCGTGGCCGGCAGTCGGTTCAAGTTCGAACATTCGGCGCGACGTTTATGTAAGTTCTAACACGCTCATTTTACTCATAGAGCTTTATTTAGGAGTTTAGAAGCTCGTTTAGATAATAAGAGAGGGAAAAAACACATTTTATGGGCTGCCGGCCATTTAGCATTTTCAAGACCTTGACCGGTAACCGGCCATATAGACACAGCGTAATTTATAAAATGGTGAAATGGCATATCTGTTATATACCCATCTTACGTTATAATTATGCTAATATATTACTATTGTGTTATTGTACAACTGTTGCGCATGCGCATAATAAACAGGCTTTCGACACACGTGTATCGTTGTGATCGCTTAGATATGTAACATGGTGTCAGAACTGCGGAAAAATAACCACTAAAAATCACAAATCCGCCTAAAATGGCACAAGGATATGATCGTGGATATTCGTGKCCCGTTCTAAACTGGAAAGCCGATGATTTGCTTAAGGAATGGGAGAGGTTCTATCAACACTGCGAGTTCGTATTTGGAGGCTCGTTGGCAAAGTGCAACGAGAAGGAAAAGATCTGCAATTTAATGAATTTCGTCGGAGATAAGGGACGTGAAATGTACTCCTGCTTCGATTGGAAGACCGTCAAAGTTGGCTCGAATGATGTTAGCGAAAAAGAAATTCTTGAGAGAGTGGCAGGCAAGTTCAAAGAACAACTTGAATCGAAACGAAACCCGATAATGGCGGCGGTTCTCTTTGACAGACGTCGACAGCAACCTGGTGAGTCGTTCAATGATTTCGTTACTGATCTGAGAGTGTTAGCGAGAGGCTTAGGACTGAGTGACACTGACAAGTTAGTTCGTAATGCGATTGCTTGTAAGTCACTTGACGAGAGAGTCAGACAAAGGTGCCTTGAGAAAGGAGCGGAGTTGACACTTGAGAAATCCATTGAATTAGGCAGACAGTGCGAAGCGACCAAAGAAGGCTTAAAAATTATTGACGGTGAAGACAGAAAAGTAACGGTCAAMAMAATTAGCMATGAGTWCAAATTCAATCGTCAAAACAAACACRAGCAAAATGACAAACCAAATAAGCACAAAGCAAACAAACACAAAGTCAATACTAGCCAGAGTGGAAATTGTCGAAGRTGTGGATATGAGAGTCACCAARAAGGTCAGAAATGTCCAGCCAAAAGTGAAGTTTGTAAAGTGTGCAAGAAGAGAGGTCATTATGCAAAAGTTTGCAGAAATAGCAAAGTCAATATGCTAGAAGAGTGTAGTAGCAATGAGAGCAGTGATGAAGATGTCAGAGTCTTAGA